CTCAGTCTGTACAGTCTCAATGGAGTATTGTTACTTGAGCAGGTGGTAGGCGACTCTGCAGACGACCAAGTCATGACTTGCGTCTTCTACGAGGGAGTCAACAATATGTGGCAAGAGCGGGAGCTGCTGTTCACGGGGCATAAACGGGGTGTTGTCAATGTGAGTGATTCATTTCAAGTGCCGACTGAACCCTACAGTCACTGATGCCTTTTAGATCTGGAGCAAAATCGTCCATCATGGACGGTTTGAGTTGGAGCTCATTAGACAGCTACATCATGTGGACAACCTCCGTGACAACGGCGCCAACATCTCGGCAGGTATCACCAGCATCCTTGCTTTACCGCATGTTGTCTATACTGGTGATGAGGTTGGTAGAGTGGTGAGTACACACGGATGTGATGCGAAGGTCGATCGTATGCTGATTTATGATTAGTATGAATGGAGCTGTGTTCAACGCCGATGATGAGGTTGTGAAAGAAACTCGATACGCATTTGGTCGTTGCTAGAAGACTTGAAGGAATTGTCTAGACGTGCTTTAAACCTGGGTGATAAGGATCACAATGCTGGTCAGTTTCAAGTGGCTGAGATTTCTTTACGATCAGCCTAGCTTCTGCGATCCACCCAGGCAGAATTTCGGCATGCAATCTTCAATTGCGCACTTTCGTCTCCAGCCCAATTCCTTCCCTCTGGGTATGCCAAAAATTGGAGACTCCACTGTATATAGCCAAATTGATCCCGTGGGGAGGGGACACGCGGAGAAAAAAGTTGCGGTAGCCACGGATGTGGGGGGGGGGCAGTTGTACTACATCAAGACTAGACAGAGGGCCCAGGAGTCGCGGAAGGGCGGGTATATTGTCCTAAATGGGAAGCATCACCTCCAGAGAATCATTCGAGAACGGTTAAATTCGGTTTTAATGGCGGATCAGGGGGATCCTGGAACCGGAGAACCATCTTGCCTTGTTATTCCGAGTACTCCGTAGTGAGCTGGAAGGTAGCGGGCAAAGGCCACGGGAGCGAAGACAAAGACCGCAGAACAAGCCGAAGAGGGGCAACCGAGGGGTAAACGGGAACGGTAGAGGAGTACTGCTCCGTACTGGATGTACTTGCTGTGCCTATGACCATGCAGCAAGCCCACAGCCGCTGCTGCGGCAGCTCAAACACGCTGGGGAAGAAACCTCCGGTGAAGCAAAAAGGGCCTGGATGGGGTCGTGATTAGCCGGGCGTGAGTGGACCGCCCGGCGCTGTCTTGCCGGCCCAGTGTGCTCCGGTCTGCACCAACACCAACAATGCATGAATTGAAGTATGTATGGGGGAGGGGGAGTAGGATGTGAGAAGGAGAGGTGATACAGGCACTGAGTAGGACTAGTGCGCCTCGTGTTAAGTAAGAGCTATAACGATCATGGATAGCGGTAGTAATCCGTAGGTGGTATGTATGCATTGTGGATGGAGAAGGAAGGAAGTTGAGTGGAAGGAAATATTAACAACAACAGAAACGAGCAGAAAGGCATAGCGTCATCGGGAGGGAAGCTGTTTGCCCCACCATTCGCTCATCCAGTTTCCCTTCCCAATCCCCTCCCCCTCCCACTTCCCTCTCCGCTGACTTCCCTCCCCCTACTTATTCTTACCCTATTCCGCCTCTGATCCTTTTCTTCTCTCTTCAATTTCTTCAATCTCTCTAGAAGTTCTTCTTATTCACTTCTAATCTCCCAACTCCCCCACCCTTTCACACTCATCTATCACAATGTCTTCTGCTCTCGAACAGCTCAAGGCCACCGGCACCGTATGTGATTCCTTCCCGCTCCCAAACTCCCGCGATTCCGCCAACTAACCATCTTCGTTCATTGAAAAGGTTGTCGTTTGCGACTCCGGTGACTTCGCCACCATTGGCAAGTACAAGCCCCAGGATGCCACCACCAACCCCTCCCTCATCCTGGCTGCCTCCAAGAAGCCCGAGTACGCCTCCCTGATCGACAAGGCCGTCGAGCAGGGTAAGAAGGAGGGTAAGACCGTCGACGAGCAGGTCGACGCCACCCTCGACAACCTCCTCGTCGAGTTTGGCAAGGAGATCCTCAAGATCATCCCCGGCAAGGTCTCCACTGAGGTCGATGCCCGTTTCTCCTTCGACAAGCAGGCCTCCATCGACAAGGCTCTGCACCTCATCAAGGTATGATTCTCTTCCATGCCGTGAGAGGGACGAGGCAATGTGAGACTGACATCTTGTATAGCTCTACGAGAAGCAGGGTATCTCCAAGGACCGTATCCTGATCAAGATCGCCTCCACCTGGGAGGGTATCAAGGCCGCTGAGGAGCTCCAGTCCAAGCACGGCATCAACTGCAACCTTACCCTCATGTTCTCCGAGGTCCAGGCCATCGCCGCCGCCGAGGCCGGTGCCTACCTCATCTCTCCCTTCGTTGGCCGTATCCTCGACTGGTACAAGGCCGCCCATAAGCGCGACTACACCGCTCAGGAGGACCCCGGTGTCAAGTCCGTCCAGAAGATCTTCAACTACTACAAGAAGTACGGCTACAAGACCATCGTCATGGGTGCCTCTTTCCGTAACACCGGTGAGATCACCGAGCTGGCTGGCTGCGACTACCTGACCATCTCCGTAAGTTCCCATCATTCGCCACGCGCTGCATTTTCATGGTCCGCCACAGACACTAACCACATGGATTACAGCCCAACCTCCTTGAGGACCTCTACAACTCCACCGAGGCCGTCCCCAAGAAGCTCGATGCTGCCGACGCCAGCAAGCTCGACATCCCCCAGCGCTCTTACATCAAGGACGAGGCTCTCTTCCGCTTCGACTTCAACGAGGAGGCCATGGCCGTCGAGAAGCTCCGTGAGGGTATTTCCAAGTTCGCCGCCGACGCCGTCACCCTCAAGGACATTCTCAAGTCCAAGATCCAGGCATAAATGGAATAATTCTGCTTTCCCCCTGCGTTCCGTTTTGCTGATCTAAATTGTGTGTGTGAGTATGCATGCGCGCGCATTCTCAAAACTTTTCATTGTGATGACCCATATATTATTCCCACTTTTGTAAAGAAAAATTTGATGATCATGATAATTTGATGAGTTTCGAAGCAGTTCAGCTGGATTTGGGCTGGCCAGATACAAAAATGATAATTGTCAATTAGAGTGAGCGCTTTGGTAAATTGACTGCATTGCTCTTCTTACTCAGTAATACGTTCCTCTAGAAATACTAGCGTTCTGATAGCGAGTATAGTGTACAAGAAGGGTTCCGCTGGTGGGGGTCAATGTCCTGGTACGAGTCAGTCCGAACTCCAATATGACAGCTGCAGCAAGGGCACGACTTGCATGCAGCATGCCGACGGTGGATGGTGACGTGGCGGCTTTAAAACAAAACTCAACTGCGCAGAGTATCAATTATACGAGAGGGCGCTTGGATGCAACATTGAAGATATGATGTATGTACCGTATATATCGCATCCGAGGTCCCGTGAACGTAGTAGGGGAAGTCCAGCATGATCGTCGCTATGTGTTGCAGGAATTGAGTTCATGGAGGTTTGTTGGGGGCAGGAAGACCTCCGAGATCGCCGGTCACTGGCATGCACTTCGACTCTATCTGGGGTCATGGATGGATCCATGTAGCCACGTCTTTCCCCTTTAGGTGCTGCTGCTGGTCTGCGCGGAGCGTAGCGGTGGGCTTAAGGTTGGGTGCGTGTATTACCCAGCGGGCCGATTTCGGGGTTTACTTCACTATGATGGAATATTGTCCCAGAGATATCGATTGGCAAGCGGAAGGGCGAGTTCTGAAGGCTGTCTATATAGATCATGGGTTTGGCATCTATTTACTTAAGTAAGCTGAGACTCCTCCCTTGCATAGCAACAACCATGATTTATGTCCTGGGTGTGCTAAGTTACGCGGTTCCTGTTTCTTTGCTTGACCATGCAGATATACAGTACAATGTGGCGGACTTGGACACAGTACCCTGCACCTGTCAACTACAGACCTCCGATGGTTTCCTCGGGTTCCTTTCTTGACTACCTAGGTAGTAATCGATGGATGATCACCTTGGAATCGCCGCCATACGGCTCGATCGGCCACTCTGGGACGGATTGAGCAGAGGCGGCATCCCGGCATCGACGGCCCCCTGACCCCCCCAGGACGCAAGCACGTCTTCGTTAACGGCACCTTGTTGTTGATGGGGGTGGGAATATGGAATCATCACGGCATGTTCCGAGGATCGGGACAGGAAGAGGCTGCTTTAAATCTGTCGCCCACCGAGCAGGCAAGATAATCGCAGGACTTGTAGAGCAGGTGCGTGCTCAATAGCAATGAGTGAGTGTCCCGGAACTGCAATCTAGTACTGTACTGTACATACAAAAGCAGCGTCGTGCGCAATCGGGCAGGCAGCTCACATGCAAAAGAAACAGTTCTAAGTTCGGCGAGAGATTCAAGTCGCCATCTACTATGTCTTGTACCCGGGTGGAGTGTTTCTTGGGGGTCTATCGCATTGCTTCGGTGGTGGAGTTGGCGACGGTTGGAGAGAATAGCAGTGCAGCTTGGAAAGCGGGAAATCGGCAGATATAATTGTTCTTTTTAATTGCTGATATGGCTTGTCAATATAGACGGCCAAGCAAGCCATTGTCAACAGAAACACTCGTGCTCAATGCACCGACCGTATGTGATGTGCATCTGGACCCGACCTGCTTATGAATCGGAGGTGAGGATGGAAGACACAAACAAAACGTCATTCCCGAGAACCCCGCCAGGTGGGGTAAAACCGACTCAGATTGGAAGCTCGTCGAAACCGAACCCACTGCCGCTGCTGCTCCGTTGCTACTGCTTGGTTGCCGGTGCAGTTGGTGCTCCTCGGTGCTTTGCTCATTTTAGCTTACCCCTCGTTCGCTTTCCTCCACTTCTTCCCTTTCTCTCCCTCTTGCTCTTTCTCCTGTCCTCTCTCCCGTCCCATCTCTTGCTTTCCTCACCAGTTTCTGAACCCCCAGATATCAAATTCCTTCACAAACCGTCAAAATGGTCAAGGCTGGTAAGTCTGCATACAATCCTTTCATCTAGTCCTCGTATTATTGGTCTTTCGCGTTTCCATGGGATCCACGATCGGCCAACGGCCCGGGGGAAGGGGACCTTGAGTGAGCAGATTTGAGCACCTTGCGATCTCTCCTCCTGCGTCACCCGACCTATCACCGATTGAGGACCCTGCTCGATGGACAGACAAGCTCTGAAGAAGCGCTGCCAACTCGAGTCCCTGGGGTCTTTGATTCGTCCTCCCCTGTCGGCTTGACAAAACAAACCACCACCTTGTTCCCATTGAACCCTGCTAGCCGGCTGGTCCTGGCTCAGCTCGGATCGGGTGATCCTGTTTCTGGAAGCCTTCTAGTTGATGAGATCATGGGCTAACTCAAACTTCCCCCTCCTCTTACCAGTCGCTGTTCTCCGTGGAGACTCTAAGATCTCCGGCACTGTCACCTTCGAGCAGGCCGACGAGAACACCCCCACCACCATCTCCTGGAACATCACTGGCCACGACGCCAACGCTGAGCGTGGCTTCCACGTTCACCAGTTCGGTGACAACACCAACGGCTGCACCTCCGCTGGCCCTCACTTCAACCCCTTCGGCAAGACCCACGGTGCCCCCGAGGACTCTGAGCGTCACGTCGGTGACTTGGGCAACTTCAAGACCGATGCTGAGGGTAACGCCGTCGGCTCCAAGCAGGACAAGCTTGTGAAGCTCATCGGTGCCGAGAGCGTCCTGGGCGTACGTTTTTTCAAACTTCCACTCACCTATTGATAGCATCAGACTGACATTCGCAATGCAGCGGACCCTGGTCGTCCACGCCGGCACTGATGACCTCGGCAAGGGTGGTAACGAGGAGTCCAAGAAGACCGGTAACGCTGGTCCCCGCCCTGCCTGCGGTAAGTCGTCTCTCTAATGGTTTGTTGTGGACGTTTACTCATGTCTCTGCTTCTTTTTGATAGGTGTCATTGGTATCGCCGCTTAAGTGCATTCATAATTGTGTTATGTTGTCAATTTAGGCCTGAAAGGCTTAACCAGAATGGAAATAGTCTGCTACTGTCCGATTGATGTCATGAACCAGATTGGAATGCATGAATGACTTGATGCGAGTAATCCAGGCGATTCCCTGTGTTTGGCGACCATGTAGTACTTTTCTTGCAACGTGTCGTAGTGTTAGGAGATGGTAGCCAGAGTCATAACTCCAGCGCTGTCTCGATGCCAGTGCCTCATGTTGCAGTGCTAGGATGAGCACGTTAAGCTGTATCCGAACTAGAAATAGCCTGGAGCATACAATGAAGCTGATTCCTGTGCCATTGTTCAAGAGGCATCTGTCAATCGGACATGGTCTCTGAGACGAAATTCGCCATGGCGATGTGGTGTCTAGAGTTGTTTTGACAGTGCCAATTGCCAGCACTGTGCAGTTCAAGGAGTTGTTCAATAACTTAATCACTGTAAAGGTATAATCCATCTTTTTAATCATCTTTTTAATCGATGCACACACAGTGCAGTGCATTGTTGAGTGGCTAGAATGCAGTAGGCGGAAACTCCCCCACAAAGTCAGGTGTTCCGCATTGACGCGATTGGTCTCGCTCTCCCGCCGGTGCTGTACCTGGCCAGATCAGCAGCATCCGCCGTCGATGCTCTTTGGTCTTCCCGTTCACTCTCCTCTTTCCCTCCGCCTCTCCTGATCTTTCATTTTCCCCAGAATCCTACTTTTTTCTTTTTCTCTTGTTTGATTGCTTTACCCTAGGTCCTGTCAATCTGACTGGGTGAAGTCCTTCTACCTTATTTTCTTCTCCTCTTCCCCCGTTACGCCAGCTCTCGCCAGAATGCCTCTGGAAGCTCGTGTGAAATCTGTCCTATCCGGCGACACGGTGGTGCTGTCGCATATCACCAATCCCGGCCAGGAACGCGTCCTCAGTCTGGCATATGTCTCAGCGCCCAGGCTGCGCAGAGAAGGCGATGAGGTAAGTCGAATTGTCTCAGAATACGGTGCTCGATCGTCGATCGGATCACCTTTCCTCTTCCGCTGGTTGCCCGCATATGTGTCCTTTGCATTGAGGCAGTGAACTCGGTCTCATTTGAACTTCTATTCGTACCCCATTGCCATACGTTGTGATGTCAAAATTCACTTCAAAATAAGATGCAGCATCATTTGCTAATCTGAATTGATGAATTCCTGCAGCCATATGCTTTCCAGTCCCGCGAATTCCTCCGTGAACTCCTTGTCGGCAAAGTAGTGCAATTCCAAATCCTGTACACCATCCCCACCGGCGCCAAGCGTGACTACGGCACAATCAAACTCCCCACCTTCGAGGTCTCTGTGCCGGATATCAGCGTGCAAGAAGGATGGACTCGTGTTCGTGAAGAGGCTGGTAAGCGCAGCGATGAGTCCGAGGAAACCCTCGCCTACCTCGAGCGGCTGCGTGCTTTGGAAGACCACGCCAGGTCGGAAGGCAAGGGAACCTGGGCTGGCTCCGACAAGGGTCACACTGAAACCAGCTATGAGCTGTCAGACGCCAAGTCCTTGGTTGACGAATGGAAGGACAAGCATCTCGAGGGTATTGTCGAGAGAGTTCTGAACGGTGATCGCTTGGTCCTTCGCTTGCTGCTTTCGCCAGAGGAACATCTGCAGGTCGTCGCTGCCATGGCTGGTGTCCGGGCGCCTGCGGCCAAGCGGGTGACTGCTGACGGCAAGGAGCAGGCAGCCGAGCCGTACGGAGACGAGGCGTTCCAGTTTGTGGAATCCCGTATTCTGCAGCGCAAGGTTCAGGTGTCTCTGCTTGGTGTCACCCCCCAGGGTCAACTGATCGCCAGTGTCCTCCACCCCAACGGAAATGTTGCCAAGTTCTTGCTCGAGGCTGGTTTGGCCCGCTGCCATGATCACCACTCAGCCCTCCTGGGTACTGAGATGGCTGCTTTCCGCCGCGCCGAGAAAGCTGCCAAGGATGCCAGAGTCGGCTTGTTTACCGGTCTCGTCGCGTCCAAGGGTCCTGCAGGCGGGGCCGCTGAGGACTACACCGTCAGCCGTGTGTTGAATGCCGACACTCTGTTCATCAGGAACAAGGCTGGTCAGGAGAAGAAGATCAGCTTGAGCAGTGTCAGACAGCCAAAGCCTTCCGATCCCAAGCAGGCGCCCTTCGCTGCCGATGCTAAGGAGTTCGTTCGCAAGAGGCTCATCGGCAAGCACGTTAAGGTTACTGTCAACGGCAAGAAGCCTGCAACAGAGGGTTACGAGGAGCGAGACGTCGCCACCGTTGTACAAGGAAACACCAATATTGCTCTTGCGCTGGTCGAGGCGGGTTACGCTTCCGTGATCCGTCACCGCCAGGACGATGACGACCGTTCGCCGGAGTACGACAGCCTGATGCTCGCTGAGGCTGAGGCTCAGTCCGAGGGCAAGGGCATGTGGTCGCCCAAGCCACCCAAGGCCAAGCAGTACCAAGATTACTCCGAGAGCCTCCAGAAGGCCAAGATGGAAGTCTCGATCCTTCAAAGGCAGAAGCGGGTGCCGGCCATTGTCGACTTCGTCAAGTCCGGCTCGCGCTTCACTGTGCTTGTGCCCCGCGAGAACGCCAAGCTCACCCTCGTTCTGTCCGGTATCCGTGCTCCGCGCTCTGCTCGTAACCCCAACGAAGCCGGTGAGCCCTTCGGTCAGGAGGCACATGACCTGGCCAACAGACGCTGCTTGCAGCGTGACGTTGAGATCGACGTCGAGACCATCGACAAGGTCGGTGGATTCATTGGTACCCTGTATGTGAACAAGGAGAACTTCACCAAGATTCTGCTCGAGGAGGGTTTTGCTACTGTTCACGCTTACTCCGCTGAGCAGTCCGGTCACGCCACCGAATATTTCGCTGCGGAGCAGAGGGCTAAGGAAGCTCGCAAGGGACTCTGGCACGACTGGGATCCTAGCGAGGATGTCGAAGAGGAAGAAGAGGCGGTCAACAGCAGCAACGGTGCTGAAGTTGAGGATGTTCAGCGCCGCAAGGATTACCGCGATGTGATGGTCACTTATGTCGACCCGACCAACGGTCGCCTCAAGATTCAGCAGATTGGTACCGGTACCTCGGCCCTCACCGAGTTGATGAGTGCCTTCCGCTCTTTCCACATCAACAAGGCCAACGATACTCCCCTCCCTGGGCCTCCCAAGGCCGGCGACTTTGTGGCGGCCAAGTTCAGCGAAGATGGGGAATGGTACCGTGCTAAGGTTCGTCGCAACGACCGTGAGAAGCAGCAGGCGGAGGTCTTGTATATCGACTTCGGTAACTCCGAGGTTCTTCCCTGGTCTCGTCTGCGACCCCTGAGCCAGCCTCAGTTTTCTGTTCAGAAGCTTCGCCCTCAGGCTGCTGATGCGGTCCTCTCTCTGGTTCAGCTCCCCGGATCCGAGGACTACCTGCAGGATACCGTGAGCTTCATCGAGGAGCAAGTTTACAACCGTGAGCTTGTGGCCAACGTGGACTACGTCTCTCCCGAAGGCACCTTGCATGTGACCCTTCTGGACCCCACCGAGTCGAAGAATCTGGACCACAGCATCAACGCGGACATTGTTCGGGAGGGTCTGGCGATGGTCCCGCGGAAGTTGAAGGCTTGGGAGCGCGCTGCTGCTGATACCTTGGCTCACCTTCGTGTGATGGAGGATGAAGCCAAGCAGGAGCGACGCGGTATGTGGGAGTACGGTGACCTGACTGAGGACTAAGCTCGCGGGACTTTTCTTTATTTGGATTGACTGTACAAATATTGCGCAGCTGGTGCTTTTTTTTACGTTTGATTCCCACTGGCGACGAACTGTAAGGTCCTGATCGGGCTGTCTAATTCGCCCGAAAACTATTTTGATGTGACCTACTAGGCTAGTCTAGGATACTCCCTCACTTTTTTAACTCTGGTTGAAGGATAACAAAAAGGAGAAATCAAAACTGATGACGTTCTTGTTTGTTTCACGGGCGATAACTATATTCTCTGCAGTGTGCATAAGTTGGACCCTGGGTGCATAGATGACATAACCCGGCAATTGTGAGTCTTCCGGGCATCCGAAACTTTGTTTTGCGGTGATGGAGAGAGTCCACTGCACAGCAAGACAAATCTGTTGTTCAGCCCAACCCGCTGGTCTGGTTACTCCAATTCGCTCCTTCGTCGACGACTTAGTTTTGTGTGTTGGGCTATAGTACTCGCAGGCGTGTTCAATTGCTCTTGGTATCGCAATCATTTCTCTACGCGCCGGGTTTAAGGCAAACCCGCGAAGATCCGATCGATCCCCGAGCGCAGCTCTCGTAAAGACGACCCACTCTAGATCCTATAGCCTTGTTTCATTATTTCAACATTCTTTCTCTATCTTACCAACTATCCACCCCTGACGAAACCAATACTTACATCTCAAAATGCCTTTCTGGGGAAGCAAATCGACGCCGACCAAGGCGGAGAGCGACGCCAGCTCGAATGACGCAACCGATCCCAAGAACGACCCGGTCGCTGCGGCATCGCAGGCGGCGGGCACGGCCTGGCTCGCGGGCCATCTCCACCACCTGACGGAAGACCAGGAGCAGAAGCTGGAAGAGTTCAAGAAGCTGTGCGAGCAAAATGGATACTTTAGGCCGGAGCGGGATGGCGAGAAGGCTAGTCACGCCGATGCGACGATGCTGTATGTATTCGTCTTCTGCCCTCTCCCCCCTTATACGCACCCTTTGCCACAACGGCAGACAAGAAAGACACTGACATCGGGACCTCGGTTTATAGGCGCTTCCTTCGCGCACGCAAGTTCGACATCGATGGTGCTTGGGGACAGTTCAAGGATACCGAGGATTGGCGCCGCGAGAACGCCATTGAGTCGTTGTATGAGAACATCGAGGTGGATGCATATGAAGCTGCTCGGCGGATGGTTTGTTATCTCTCCAATGGTTGAAAGCGTGTTGAAGGTGAATATGGTAGCTGACAGTGGTCTGCTCACTATAGTATCCCCAATGGACCGGCCGTCGTGACCGTCGCGGT